TATCTCCAGTTACCCACGAAAGAATTGGATGTGGAACTGTGTGGAACTGCATTAGCCTTGAACCCAAAAGCTCAGGGACTATACCTAGGCCCTGAGTTCAAGCCCCAGGTCCAGCATGAGCTCACATACACACAACTGTACAAATCCAGAATAAACTATTATTTGGGCTGGAGGTGTAGTTTGGTGTTAGAGCACATGTTTGGTATACACAAGACCCTAGCTCCAAAAAGAGGAAAGGAGGAAGGCAGGGAGAGAGGGAAGGAAGGAAAAGAGCAAAAATATTGAATTAAACTAAGTTTTATTGTCCTACTGGTTCGTATCCATCCTGATTCACAGTTTGCTGTATTATTGGCTGAGAACTGAAGCAAAATATAAATACTTGCTTATAACATATTTAAGATAAACCGTCAGCTCCTATATAGTTTCCAGAATTATTAAATAAAATTCTCAGAGGTGTAAGTCAGAGTTTTGTTGTTGTTGTTGTTTGACAGAGGGTAAATTTTGCCCCTACTTTTTCTTTAAAAAAAGTTTTAAGGGGAAGGGGAAGAACAGAAACAGTAGGAAAAAGGAAGAACCAGTTCAGCAGTGATACTCACTAAACACTATGTTGGAAATGAACTATATAACTTGGCAGGGAGGAGTAAAACTGTTTTAATTATCCTCAAGTAATGGTACAATGGGGTTTCAATTCAACATAGCAGTTTGTGAGAACAACGCATACTGATCAGTGTCAGTCCTTTCATTATGCTTTCCCATCTCTCGCAAACCACCCATCCCCCTCAATTTACCTGGTTCCATTTTCACATATATTCAGAGTTTCTTAAAGGGTTCCCCTAGAACCACTGGGCTAATGAGAGTAGACGTAGAAAGAGAGAAGAAAGTAAATGCAGAAAGAAATTGGGGTCACATGCCTGAGGAACCTGTGGATCCTTTGAAGCTTTTTGTTTTATTTGGAGGAAAACTGCATTTGGATATTGAATTTTATAGCAAAAACATCAGAATTTATTATAAAAGCATACTATAATGCTTAAAATATTCTGTACTATTTTAGAACTAATACATGTAAAACATGTAAATATAAACTCACATATATAACCCTAAAGAAACTAAGCCATCAGAAGTGATCCAGTCCCAGAGCCGAATCACATTTAATATGGGTTAAAAACCACAGAACTCCCCCCCTCAAATTACATGTCTCTGTGTGTGTGTGTGTGTGTGTGTGTGTGTGTGTGTGTGTGTGTGTGTGTGCGTGCCAAGCATGGTGATATACATGTTTATGGACCCAGCTCTCAGAAAACTAAGGCATGAGGATCATGAATTCTGTACTATTTTGGACTACATAATGAGTTCAAGGCCAATCATCTGGAGACCCTGTCTCCAGATAGACAGATCCCTAGCTGGGTATAGATATGTAGAAGAATTTGGTTCTTTATCTGTTTTATTTTGAGGGTTTTTTTTCCTAAAGGAGAGTAAAAGATGCCCCCACTAAGTAGTAGTTCTCAGATTCTCTTTTCTTTCTTCCAGGTCTTACTCTCTCCAACATATTATTTATCACCACAAAATGTTGCTCCTCTATCCATACCCCATAAAGGTTTTATTCTTTCTGCCACTTAACTCCTTTCTCATGTAGATGAACAGAACCTTTCCAACATTGAACTCCTCACAAAAGGAGGCTGGTCTGTCTAGCCTCTGATGCCAGGAGCAGACAGAGGGAAAATGAAATTGGGCATTAGGGTGGTGGAAAAAAGGCAATTGGACCAACAATTCCATTGGTTGGCAGAAGGGAAGAGGCATTTCATAACATTCCCATGCTAATAATGTGTACCCAATCACAGATGGTTATGAAAATAAAATATTTTGTTCCATGTTCTGTACATTAGTGTGTCATTTTGTTCATATATCTTTGGATGTTTGAGATAACTGATATTGAGATTGACATGACCGATATTGTACCTACAAACCAACAATCATTATTGATTTCTTTGTTTATGTTCTGTGAGTGCATTTATAGTGATAAGATACCATATTTTGATCCCCAAACTATGCTTTTTAGTATATGTATATTTCAAGAACAGGCTTTTGGAGTCCAGGCAAAAACATAAATGTTTGTTCTGTTTCTCTGATGGCACATATTGTGTGGAAAACCATAAAATAATGGAGACAAGCATTTGCTTTGCCATCACAGTCTGCATGTGAGCACAAGCACTTCTGTGGCAAATATTGGTTGACTTTCCCCAATGTTGCCTGCTCAAGTGAAATCTTCAGTGTATATGGTAGAAATCAAGCTGTGGGTCTTGCTTTTCCATCTTTGTAGTGAAGTGTTAACTGAACAGATTGGATCTTCGGTCATAGCCAATGAAGCAATCTTGTTGCTGCTTTTTAAAAATTTAATTTCTGTGTGTACTTTTCATAGTTGTCGTTTTACACAAAGTATTTATGACTGTATTAAGACAATCAAATTAGACTCTTCCAGTAGTAGCATTGGTTTCACAAGTGCATATGTGAAGTACTTAGTATAGAATGGGTTGTAGGTAGATGCTGGCAGAGTAGGAGAACCATAGAGAGAATGCAGGAAGTAAACTAACCTTCAAATTATCTTTAAAAAAATGTCTATGATGCTGTCAAATCAGTCCCACAAATACTGATCCTCCTGGGTAGACATTGTTGTGTTGCCTTAGGTAAACTCTTCAGTCTCTGAACAGAGGGCTATGACAGAGCTGGGAGAGTAAAAGAAAGTGTATGGGAGAGGGAGTAGTTGACCTTGGCATTGATGAATGAATCCTATTTAAAACTCAAAAGGAGGGCATTTCATTCAAAAGGAGGCCATCTTAAAATCAGGAAATATTTAAATATCTAGTGGTGTTATTTGATTGTACTTGAGAGAGAAAAGCTCAAGTGGATCTCCCTCACACAGGTTGTAGATACTCATGAAGGGTTCAGGATTTGGGCCATGATAAGCAGATATATGCTCAAGAGTCTAGAACTCTGCCAGTGGAGAAAGATGAAAAGCAGTCTAGGCCAAGGGACTCCAGGCACCAAAAGATGCTAAGGAGCAACCTCAGAATAGTGAGAAATTTTAGCCTGATCAAAATGTACAGAGAAGGAGAGGCTATGAGAGAAGGCTGGAAAGCAGGGTTATATCCCACCTGAGGAGTTTGGTGTTTATCTGAAATAGACAAGAACCAACAGAAGGTGCCTGAGAAAGGTGAGAGCACAGGCTTACAGGCCCAGCAACTTCCTCTACAAATGGCCAGGTTGTAAGCATGTTAGACTTTCTGGACCACATAGGGGGTGTCTATCATGTATTCCTTTTCTTCTTCCTCTTCCCCTATCCTTCCATTCCTTTTCTCTTTCTTTACCTTTTGTCTTCCTTTCCTCCTTGTTTTACAACCTTTTAAAAATTTAAAACTCATTCTTTTTCCTCTGCCCCTACAATAAAAAAAAAAAGCTCCAGGAGGGAAAACGAGGAAAGTGAAGGGAGGAGTGACATTGTCCAAAAAAGACATGTACTCATTTCCTGATTTAGGAAATGGTAACTCTGTACACCAGCTTAATGATAACAATAAAAATTATAGATTTTTGAAAATCAGAGCTCCAATCTGCTGTAACTATCTCAGAACTAGGATGGGAAGAGAGATTGTCAGGTAAAGTCTGTTTAGGTAAAGTCTGTCAGGTAAAGGGCTGTTATGTTAAGCTGAGGAAGGCCTGGGAAACATGGGGAGGAAATGGATGAGGATCTCGAAGCAGAATTAACTCTTCCTAATGATTGCTTAGTTATGAGGTATTAGAAAGAAAAGGACAAAGTAGGTATGATTTTGAGTTTTCAAAATTGAGGGACTAAGAAGTGGTGCTGGTGCTATTATTTAACACCAAGACTGCAGGAGAGTTTTCAGAGAAGATGGAATCACTTTGAAGGTGCTGAGTCCAGTGTATGAGCATCATCCAGGTAAAGGGTATCTGCAGCCTGGTGCCTTTGTGGGTCAGGGACCATTTCTTCCCATCCACAATGTGTACCATACAAGGAGCCTATGAGGGAACAGTCATGGAATACTAAAGTGTCCCAAGTCTATAGGACAGGAAAGAACTGGTCTTTAGGAACACCAGACTGGCAGTATGTCTCGGGAAGAACTGGAGAGGATGAAACTAGGTAGTCCAGTCTCCTGTGGGAAGTCCAGGAGGAAAGGAGCGCCTCACATAGGGTAGTAGCAATGAGACAGAAAAAAAGACAGCAGGTGGGAGAGAGAGGGATGGGACAGAATTGCAAGGATGTGGTACTCTATAGGTAGAAGAAGAAAGGCCTTCTACAATATCGTGCTCAGACTCCAGTGTCACAGATGCTGCTGCTTCTGTCTTATCCTTTCGTGGTCCTCCCTGACTGAACTACTCAGGACATGTAATGCAAACTGTTTCCATATCTTTGCAGTGTTTATACAAATCCAGTTGTGTGGCGCATGTAGATAGCTGTGTCCTGTCCCACTGGTAAAAATCTTGGCATATTCTCCATTAACAGGAAAAGGAAATATAGAAGAAAAAATAAGAGAGCACTTGATAAAAGAGTTGAAAATGTTGGGCGTTTTTTGTTTGGTTTTGTTTTTATTTGAACTGGTACACATCTTAATCTAGGGCTTTAAAATTGCTTATATTTCCAGAAAACCCTCCATCAAGGTAAATTTGCATGTTGCCAGCCTTCCTGTAATTCTTTCTACCTAGGTCTGAAGTCTCTTGTGGCCTTACTGTAGGAGGTCTTCCTTAGTAGCATGATTGCTGTTGAGATACAGTGACTGTGTACATCTGTCTTCCCAGTGCATTAAGCTACTGTGTTAAAAAAACATATAGAGCCGCCTCTGTCCACAATGTGCACCGCACGCTAACACCCAGGATGCTTGGTGGTTAGAATAGAAAGGGCACAAGACCATTTCTTTTTGTCTGTTTGGCAATTAACCATTCACTGGCTTTTTTTTGTTGTAACATGCACTTCCTTTCTCTTGTTTTCATTCAAGCTGTGTACGCCATGGAAATTAATGTGGAGAAAGACAAACAAACAGGAGAGACCAAGATTCTCTCTGCATCTGCCATTGGCCCAGAGGGGGTGCATCAGAGAGGAGTCAAAGTCTATGACGATGGTACCAAAGTAGTATATGAGGTGCACTCAGGAGGCACCATAGTAGAAAACGGAGTGCACAAATTAAGCGCAAAGGATGTTGAAGAGCTTATTCAGAAAGCTGGACAATCAAGCTTAAGAGGAGGGTACATGTCAGAAAGGACTGTTATTGCAGATGGGAACCTCGGCCATCCCAAGGAACACATGCTCTGCAAAGAAGCCAAGTTAGAAATGGTGCATAAGTCTAGGAAAGATCACTCTTCTGCGAACCCAGGGCAACAGGCTCAAGCTCCCAGCACAGAAGGGCCAGAGGCCATCTTGGATCAGCCAGTCACCATGATTTTTATGGGCTACCAAAACATCGAGGATGAAGAGGAGACTAAAAAGGTACTGGGCTACGATGAAACCATCAAGGCAGAATTAGTTCTCATTGATGAAGATGATGAGAAGTCATTAAGAGAGAAGACAGTGACAGATGTGTCCACTATTGATGGGAATGCAGCTGAGCTGGTATCCGGAAGGCCGGTCTCAGACACCACTGAACCCTCATCCCCAGAAGGGAAAGAAGAGAGCCTGGCCACAGAGCCAGCCCCAGGTACCCAAAAGAAAAAGCGCTGTCAATGCTGTGTTGTCATGTGACCACTTCTTTTCTCCCTTTTCTTCCGGGCAGCCTCTCTACCCTCCACCACTTCCATAGACCTCACTGCACCACTAACTGCAATACTGTGAACTGGGAACGAACACCTGCCTTGCCTTGCAGTTGGATTGCTTTGATCTCTCTTTTTATTTTTTTCCTTTTCCTCACCTCAGAAACAACGTGCATGTGTGTGGTTCATTTTTTTCCCCAAGAACTTGCTTTTCCTCTAAACCTTTTCTTATGTCTTCAAGAGTGAATCAGTACCTACTGCTCGATTGGAATGGACTGTTCATATCAGCCTGTTAATCTTGTAGCCTTAATTTACTTGACTGGAATCCAACCCATTGGCACTGGGGCTTTCATTTTGTTGTGTATTCCTCCAAGATAGTCACACACAAACACACAAATACACACACACACTGCCACATCCCCAACTTCTCATTTGCCTCACTTGCTGTGGATCTTAGTTTTTATAACTTGTTTTTATATCAGCTGTGGGCTGTAGCTGGTTTCTAGTGTAGCCAACAGTGGACATACTTAATCTGTCATTCTAGGGAGATGCTTTTTTCTGCCTTATATGAGCTTCCAGATTACAGTATTGAGCATTGCTGGCTTTTCCTTCTATTAAACCTGAAATGAAGTTAATGTGAAAGAAAAAGAATCCAGTGTTGGGCATAGCAGAAGTGTAGGAACCTGCTCAGCGGCAGCTGTCTCTCTTTCTGTGTCTTAACTTCTCTATACAAGAAGCTCCATCTTACATTTTCTAAGGACCTGAGACAGCCATTATTTTAAGCATTGGTAGTGATCATCAAGTCTAGACATTCCGATCCATGAACTCTGTTTCTATTCTCTCAAACAATGTAAATTTTTATATCGGTTTCTTTTTCATGAATATTTTCTGATCATATCAATCTATTTTCCATGAGGGGATCATTTTGAGAGGTATCTCTGCACTGACCACATTTCTAAAACAGTCTTTCTAAACTACAGTAGTTACAGCGCTCCCACTTTATCAAGGATGGTGCTGTGTGCATTAACTGTCCAGCTCATGTGCCCGGTGATTGTAGTCTTGGCAGCTGTAACTTTTCTTTCCATCCTTCCCCAGGGAAAGAGAATGCTTCCAGTCACTTTGACACGCAGGTCTAAGGACAGACATGAAAATAGCAGGTTTAAGGGGGGAAAATTAAATGTAAAAAAAGGTTGAAAGATGTCAAAAGACCTGTCTTGTCATTGTGAAATATTTAAATTCAGTCCACAGGCTAGTTGAAATGTTACTGAACTTTCTAAAACTTTTTTTCACTCTTAAACGTCTGGAGATTCTGGAATGCCAAGAAATCCTTTTCTTCTAGACCACAATAAACAGTGCTTGAAATAAATTCTTAGCACCAAAGTGATGTTAATAATTTAACATCTTGATGGGCAGTGAAACCAAAAGAAAAGAATAATAATATAAAAATGAACAGCTCATTTTAATAGCAGATAACTTCAAGTTACTTGTGCAAATGCTTCTGTAGCATTTTACAAAATTTTCTGTGTTTCTATGGAATATAGTTGCAAAAAATACATAACATGACATCTCATATTAAATCTTCTGTGGAGAGTAGTTCAGAAAACAGTAAGATGGCCTGAAACATTGTGTTATAGAACCAATTCAGTTTGTCCTGTTCAGCTTTCTCAGTGCTAAATTTATTTATTTAGTTAGTTTTGGAACTTGAAATGATATTCCAATGAGAAAGGAAGATGACATTTTTATGTCTGTTATTTTTCTCAAATAACTGAATTTTTAATGAGCACAAAATGAGTCATTTTATCCCTAGTAAGTAAGCAGGAGCAAGAGTTAAGGAAGAGCAAGCAGAGAAACTAAGCTGGATTTACTTTGGGCAACTAATGGAGGGAATTTCCTTTGTCTCAGGTTTACACAGTAGATGCAATGGAATAAAATGCTGTCTTACAAGAAACCTGTTTTAATGCTAACATATCTCACTATTCTCAGCTTCATTACTCAGTAGATGGTTGTTTAAGCAACACTTACATGTTAGATAAAAAGTTGTATGGATCAACCTATCTTCACACAGAATAAGCAGAGTTTCCATGTTTGGACAATCTCTTATTTTAAGAATTTATTTAGGAAAGAAACATAAAAGTTTGCCATAAGTTTGTCTTTTTTATTCACTTAGTGATTAAAAATTATTCAGTGTGAGTTTTTAAAAGCACATGAATGAGTGAAATGGCAGAGCTTAAGCCCCGTGGACTTGGTGTTTGATAGAAAGAATCAGTCTTTCAGGAGAAATCCTTTCCTTTCCTTCCATAAGAGAACTAGTTTCTCATGACAAAATGATCTGTACCGCTCACAAGAACTCTACTCATAAAGCCAAAAATACCAGTGATAATCCACACTCAATCAGTTACTCATATGGGAAATAACTAGCAACTTACGTGAATTAGGATTCTCTATACTTTTATTTTTAAACATTATCATTTTTTAAGTTTTTAAAATGAGACGTGTTGCCTTCCTCAATTATTTATCACCACAGTAAATGAAGATGCCTTTGAATGTGGCAAACATTTGAATATTTTCATGTCTTCATAAGCATGTGGGCTCAGACAGGACTTCCATTGGACAAGAACTATAGTCCTATGTAAAGCAGCAAGTTATGCCCTTGATAATGAAAATGTAAACGGACCCATGATTGTGAATACTCTGCCTTTCCTCCTGCTTTTGTCACACTTTCTCTCTAAAAATTATCATGGCCTTCAAGAATGCAGACGATTCGGTTATATAACCAGGTTAATGAAAGAATCAGTAATGAAGCTACAAACCAGGATCTTTTTTGAGCTAATATTTAGTTGGGCTGTCCCTAAAAATCTTATAATCAGTTCTGTTTTAAATAGAGGAAGAAAAAAAGAGATGTCATTTTTAACAGATTATGGTGACATTTATTAAAGATTATTTAATAGTTAAAATGAGAACATTTATCCCTATATGTCATGAAAAATGTTGATGACTTGTGTATCCTTGACTTTTTCCCCTTTTTCTCTGTAAATATGCAGTAACACAAAACTGAGGGGACTTATTTTTACCTTGTTCTTATTCTACCCATAATGATACTGCTTTCCATGTATGATCAAAAATAATAGTGTCTAAGTGTGATTTCCTAAATACTACTGATGCCAATTAGCATGAGGGTTAGAGCAGAAAAATACTAGGAATTCACCTCTTGACAGATTCAAAACATGGCTTCCTTAAGCATCCTGAGCCATCCTAAAATTACAAAAAGGCTTTTAGGAACTAAAAGTCTAGAGTTAATTAAATTGAACTGCTTGTGAAATGTCAATAAACATGTATTTACTTTAAATCCCCACCTTTTCCGATTTACTTCTGGTAATCAGTGTTTTTCCTGCGTGCAAGTAGAATATTTTGTTTTGGGTTAGGGTCAAGTATTAATAAAAGGAGAGAAGCCAATAAAAATACAGAGAGAGATACAGAGTGAGAGAGAAAAAGAGAGAGAGTTCCCTGGAGATAAAATATCATCATATCATCTCTGGGACCAAGCATCAAAGCCAAATGGGAAAACAGTTCATTTCCCTTCACATCCTGCAGAATTTGAATTCAAGAGACCTCAGAGTACTCTTGAAAGTTGCTATTTACTTAATGCCAATAGGTAACAAAAGAGGAGGGAAGAGAATATGGAGATAAGAGAAAAGAAAAAGAGATGTTATTCCTCTTTATAAAGCATTAACCCTATCCATTTAAAACATACACTTAGGACAATTCTTTTTGCTGTTACTTAAAATCTAGAGGCAAAGTCATTTTTTCTTCAATCATAGTCCCACTGAAGAGTTTAACTCACTAAAAAAGACCCAATCCTTGCAGATATAGTCTCTTGTCTCCTGTTATGTTAGTTCATAGCAAACCTTGCTTAGGTGAATGGTCTCATGTTGTATTTTTGCAACATGCACATTCATAGTTGAAATCACAAATTCTCAGCATTTTTAAGACATAGGTTTGAAAACCTTGCTAAATATATAATCCTTCAGAAGCTCCTCGATTTCTTCATCAAGCTCTATTGAACTCCACTGGTTAGAGGAGAACCATAAAGTATTATTTGCTCTATTGGGATAGTGAAACCAAACAGGAGCCTGGAGTTCATACAAAATAGCTCAGAGTAACAAAGGGGAAGATGGATCTTTGATTCCTGCTATTAGTTCACCTTCATTTTGTAGCTTTCTTCTTCACTTACTGAGAAAACCCTCTTCATTTTCTGTGGACAAAAAGAATTGGCATCTACATTGGCACAGGAATACAATGCAGTCATGTGTCTATATTTTTATAACTTCAGCAATCATCTTAATTATAATTCCCATTTCAACAACAAACAGAATACTTAGTGATTGAATGTAGAAAGCTATGGAATAGTGATTATATCTGGAGAATGTCAAAGGGAAATGTTACTGGGAATCCTTCAACCAGCTCCCCTAACTTAATTTTGGTATAATTTAAGTAGGCTTCTGCTTCCTGTCTTCCCTAAAGACTAACATTAGAAAGTCTGAACTATCGCACATGCACACACACACACACACACAAACACACACACACACACACACACACAAACCTGCTGTTGATGTAAAAATGAAATATGAAATTTTGGGGACCACAGACTTTCTGCATCAAATATCTGGACAGCCTTAACTTTTGTAAAGATAATAATAATAATTTTTCAATGTTCTCTTTTACTAAGCAGGAAAACAAAATGTTTCCTGAAACTGATGTTTTTTATATTTTGTGACTATTTTCTAAGTTTCTACAGGTTAAGGTATGAATGGTTATCTTTGTCCCATATTGCCTCTTAGCGGTCACCTGGGGCTAATTTTTGCAAGTCACTGCATTTTTATCAAAAGCAAGGTATATCTCACAAACCATAAAATTCTCCCTAGACTTTAGGCAGTCCTTTTGAAGT